TTACTATATCTTTATAAATACTCTCTATACTTCCATTTAACTTTAACACATCAACAACACTGTTATTTTTTAATAAAAATAAATGACCGGTTAAATTACCAATAAAAGTAAATTCATCAGATATTTCCTTATATGAACTAAAATTAAAGTATGGAAATAAATTAACTATATCAATTTTATCAAAAATTCTATTAAATGAGTTTTGTGTTTTATATAAAATTGATTCATCACTTAAATTAAATAAAATTGATTCATTTCTATGATTTAATACAATTACTAACTTCTCATTCATCTCAATATTTTTTATAGCACAGTCTGTTAATTTATAAACTTTATCATTTATAGATATAAAACCTTTTTTATTTCCAAATATTAAGAAAGAATTGTTTTTATAATAACAACAAACCTTACTTAAACAACTAGTATTTTTAATTAAAGAAGGGGTGGATAAAATATTTTTAACTTTTTTATCAGTTATGTTAAATGATAAAATCATTCCATTATTAAATCCTAAATAAGTATTATTATTAATAACACTAATAGTTGATAAAGAATTTTCAAAGAAATAAATTTTGACTAATTCTTTAAGTGTTTTTAAGTCATAAACTCTATAATAACCATCTCTATTAAGGGTGTGTAGTTCATTTTCAAACACATGTAATTTAAAAAAGTAGTTTCTATATTCTTGAATTATCACCTCATTGTTAATTTTTATAGTTCTATCTTCTGATGCATGATAAATATTATTATTATTTTCTATTAAGTCAAAAACTCTACCTTTATTATCAAATTCATTCAAAGAAAAATCTTTTATATCAATCAAATAATATTTATCATAAGAACATACATTAAGTGATTCATTATTAAAATTAGCTTTGATTATACTTTTTAATGGTAATTCACATATAAATTCATTTGATTGTAAGTTATAAATCTTTTTATTATATAACAAAACATAATTTAAGTTACAATCCGCTACAAAATAATTATAATTTTTATTGATCCATAAATTATCTTTAAATATAATTATATTATGAGTTCCAATTACTATAAAATGATCTAAAATTACTTTAAATTTAACTATTCTAAAATCAAATACAAAAATAGTATTATCAGTTAAAGATTTTATATTATTATTTTGTGAATAGTAAATTTTGTTTTTATACTGAATTATATCAGTAATTGGACTTCCTAAACTACAATTTTCAGTTTTATAGTTAAACTCAGTTATTTTCATTTTTATAAAATTTTTACAGAAAATTATAGAAATGATTGAAGAGCAATGTGACAAAGTTGAAATAAAACAACTTGGAAAAAACTATATTGATGTAATAATTCACGGTGAAGATTATACAGTTGCATGTCCAATAGCTGAGAGATTATTAAACACGACTGAATATTGTGCTTTTAATAAAAGCTATCCAGATGATAAACATATCTCTATAAGATTAAAAACTAATGAAGTTGATGTTAAAAATGTTTTTAAGGATAGTGTTAAGTCTATTATTGATGATATTGATTCTGTTATAGATCAAATTAAATAATAAAATATAATTTTTATTAATTTTGTTAAGTGTTTTATTTATTTAAAAATTACAGTACTCAACTTTCCCGGATAGTACTTGAATGAGCTCTCAGAGACTTATTTACTGAGATCTAATGGGTTCAGAAGTTTTACTCTGGATATGACCGTAATTATTAATAATTTCTTGTAAAATATTTATATGACAAATATATTATTCAATTATATAGTGTCTTGATATTTTTTTTGATGTAACTTGAAACATGAAATTTTGTCTTAAAAATATTTTTTAAATTTAAATATGTTATTTTTAAATTAATAATAATTTGATTTAATATGTTTAAAATTTATTAACTATAAAAGTATATAAATTTAATATTTTCTTTATTTTATTAAAATAACACTGTTTTTTTATATTTCAAAGTTAAAGAAAACTTAAACATAATCATTTTATTTACATATAAATGTAATTTGCAGTTTAAAAATAATAAATTAATTTAAACAACTTTATTTGATAAATTCAAACCAAACGATTTTTTAACAAGTTTTATGAAAATATAATGTGAATAGTAATATTTATATATAAATATTAAATATAGATTAAGAAGTTTATTATTAATTTGTTTTTATTAAAGGGTTATATTCTTTATAAAAAAACGTAATATTATTATACTCCATTATGAAAAAAAAGATATAAAAAAATAATAATCATAATTTGAAAAACAGATAAAAATTAGTATGTTTTAACTTTTAAAAACTAAAATAAACAATTACTTCAACCCCTTTTTAGTTAAAAAATAAAACATATAAAATTTTTTATTTTAAATCAATAAAAAATTTTCAACCCTAATTTAATGACCAATTCATCGAAAGAAGACAGTAAGATAACCATAAAAGACAATGAAGTGGTTATTGAAAATAGTAAAACAGATTTAAAGAAAGATAAAGTTAAGTTAATAGATACACCAACAAATTTAAGAACATCAGATGAAGATTTAATCAGAAAACCAATAAGTTTAAAATTTAAAGAAGAAGAAGTAACTCATAAAGAAGAAGAGATTAACAAAATAGACATTTACAATGATTTATTGCCTGAGTATGACATAGTAGCATTTCATTACTTTCCAGAAGAAATTAAGAAGTTTGTTTCACTTTTTAAGTCACTTAAAATTATTTTTGATTTCAATAGAAAAAGAAAGTTAAATGTAATATTTGATAAACACAAATCTTCAATAGAAAAGATGTGGAAACATAGTTTAAATAGGCATGTGTTAGACCAGTTAAAAGAAATGATTCCAGATACTTTAAAATTTAAGGAAGTATCATATAAAGAAAAAAATGTTGAAATAACTTCATTTTTAATTAAGATAACTAAAGATATTTGCATTGAAGAAAGAATACATTCTTTTATAAATGACAGGTATAAAAATTGGTTAATAGAGCATGACATCAATTTTAAGGTTAAAAAATACCACCCTGATTTTTTGAAAAGTTTAACAGATCAGTATTCAGTTAAAAGAAAACAAATATTTGTAGGTCAAAATAAGAAAGTAAAAATAAAAGAAGATAAGTTAGTTAAGAAAAATGAAGAAGAGAAAGTTAATAAGTCAATAGAAGATAAATACAATGAAATAGTTGAGAGAGTGAAGAAGTTGGAAGAACAAAGAAAATTAGAATTTATAAAGAATGAATCAGTAAAAATAGACTATTTAGGAAAGATTGATGAAATATTTGAAGTTACAAAGAAGAGAGCTATAAAACTAGAAGATTTAACATATAAAATGGGAGGAAAGAAAATAAAAGAAGAAATTATAAAATCAATAAAAGACACCAAATACGTTTATAAGAAAGTAGATTCAATAGAATATTTAGTTAAAGAATAAATTTATTTTCCAATGCTAACTTCACTTGTTTTAATACCAAAGGAATCAGAATTTTCAGTAAAAATAGGATGTTCAATTTTCAAAACAGTAACAAGTCCAAGTAATTCACCTTTCTTAATAAAAATGTCTTTAGCAGTACAAAAAATTACACCAACATCACCTCTGTAATCAGAATCAATTAAACCACCAAGAGTTCTGTATTCAGGATGAGTTATAATTGCACAATAACAATTATCAAAAGACATGCTTATTTTACTCTTAATAATTACTGGGATATTAGCTTTAAGATATACATCTTCAGGAGCATATATTTCAGTTCCCCTTGAGGTAGCTTTAGGTTCACAAATATCATCACTTAAAGGCTTGTATTTTACAGGACTGGACATAAAAATTAAGGGTAAACAAAAATTTATTTATTAATCTTAAACACTTCACTACCAACTTGTATAAAGGAGTTGCTTTTATTTTCTTTAATAACAGGCAGATCAATCTCTAAAATTTGCATTACAACAATAATAGTATTTCTTTTTATAAAAATGTCTTCTTTTGGACATAAAATAGCTCTAATTTCACCCCTGCAATCAGAATCAATTAAACCACCAAGTACACGACATTTATTCTTAGTTAGTAGACAACAGTAAGTCTTGGGAAAAGACATTTTAAATCCTAAAGGAACCAAATAAGGTTCTCCAGCCTTCAATTTCAAATTTACAGGACTGTAAATTTCATATCCTAAAGGAGTATATTTAGGCTTCTTTATTTTTTTGTACAATTTAAAATATTTTATAATTTCTGACATGAAAATACAAAAAATTATTTATTTATTTTATGTTGCAAGTTAGTGTTTTAATATTTTAAAAAAATTAATTAAAAGTTTTTTTAAAAAAAGTTTTAATAAAAAAATGAGTGAAAATGAATTTATAAAAGAATTATTATCAACCAGTGTTAATTTAGAAAAGAATATTGATAAAATAAGTTCTATAATGAAAGATAAAAATGTGAGTGTTGGTGTTAAAAACAATATCATTTTTAATTGTGAATCAACTGCTTCAGATGAACTTTTATCAGTTTTATTACAAAACTCACTAACTAATGATTCAGTTTTAATTGATCATGAAATAGCCTATAAATTAGGACAATTAGTTCAAGAGAATTCTAAAGAATTTTTAATAGAACTGATGTCAGATGAAAATAAAGATCCAATCGTTAGACATGAAGCTATTGAAGCATTAGGAAATTTTGAGAATCCATCATTAATAAGCTTAATTGAGAAATATTTAGATTCCAATGAATCATTAGTAAGAGAAACTGCTTATTTAGCAGTTAGAAAATTGTCAGTTCTAACTAAAGAAAATAAATACAAACTTAACATCAATGAATTAGATACAAAGCAAGTTAATGATGAGTTTAGTGTGAGAAGTCCAGCTTTTATTACAAAAAAGTCATTTATTGAGAGTAAAAGTATGTTTTTTAAAGGAGATCTTTGGGAAAAGTATACAGCATTATTAAGATTAAGAGATTTAAATACGGAAGAATCTTATGAAGTAATTAAAAAAGGATTTGAAGATAAAAGTGCATTATTTAGACATGAAGTAGCTTTTGTAATGGGACATTTAAATAATCCTACTTTTATTAAAACATTAGAAAGTGTGTTAAATAACCCAAAAGAAGAAGATGTTGTAAGACATGAAGCAGCAGCTTCATTAGGATGTATTAATACAGAAGAAAGTAAAAAAATTTTAATGAAAAATTTAAACAATCCAATAAGAATAGTAAGAGAAAGTATCGAATGTGCAATATTTTGATTAAATAAATTTTTATTTTAATATTTTAATAAAAATAAAATGAAAGAGATAAACAGTACATTAGAAAACGTTTTAGGTGAAACTAATAAAGAAACCACAATAAACAATAAAAGACGAGTATTACAACCAAAATTTGTTAAAAAGACTGAAGATAGAGAAGATAATCTAAAAGATAAACACTGTTCAAATAAAAACATTGAAAGTATATTAAGCACACTAAAATCAATAAACGGATACTCAATAAAAAAAGAAGGGAATATTTTAACATTTAGAAGTGTGTATGCGTTTAAAAAAGAAGATATTTTTCAATTTCAAATAACAGATAATGATAAGATAAGTATAATACAGACAAAGTTTTTAAAAGAATGGGAGCATTTGATAGAAAAATACTTAATTAAGAAAAAATCAATACCAGGATTTCTATCAGCAATAACATTAGAATTAATGGAGAGAAATACATTTGAATAAATTAAAATAAGAATTTATAGAACTTCTTCTACATCGGGATTAGAAGTGCCTTGAGCAGCACCACCCATTTTACCTGCAATCATTTCAGTTAAAGTTTTCTCAGCAGTTGCATACTTTTCTTTAATAGCAACAGAATCATAATTATCAACTTCATTATCACAGAAAGTACGATACTCATCAATCTTAGCTTGAACTTCAGCTTTAACAGACTCATCAAGTTTACTGACTTGATCTTCACATGAATCAATAAGAGCATAAAACTTATTAATAGAATTTCTCTTCTCAAGAATCTCAGCATCATATTCTTTGTACTTTTCAGCATCAGCTTTCATTCTTTCAATATCATCACTATTTAATTTACTACTCATGTTAGTTACAGTGAATTCCTTCTGAGTCTTAGAACCTTCATCTACAGCTGATACATGAAGAATGTTATCATCATTAAGAGTGTACGTAACTTTAATCTTAGGAACACCCTTTGGTTGTGGTGGAATACCACTTAAAGTGAAATCTCCAAGAATTACATTATCTTTAGTTAGTGCTCTGTTACCTTGCGATATCTTGATAGTTACAGCTGTCTGATTATGTTCAGCTGTTGTAAATACCTGAGAATTAGAACATGGAATACGTTGCTTTGCTGGAATTATTGGTGTTGCAATATTTCCTTGAGTGTCAATGTTAAGTGCAAATGGATTGATATCTGATAAAATAAGTGTTCCATCTGTTGATCCATCATGTGGATAGATTGAATTTGCTAATAATCCTGCTCCCATTGCTACTGCTTCATCTTCATTACATGGATTTACAAATACATTCTTTCTTGCTTCTAATTGATTTGCTGACAATCCTTGTTTAAAGAATTCTTTCATCATTGACTGTACTTTTGGTATTCTTGATGATCCACCTACTAAAATTACTTTATCTATTTCTAATTTAGCTTGTTGTATCACATCATTTAAGTTTCCACTAAACTTATTACGTGACATTGTTTCTTGTACATTTATGTATCCATTGTCATCATAAATTGGTTCTACATTCCTATATGAAAGTAACACTCCTTTCACACGTTCTAATAACTTATCAAATAATGACCTTGATGCACTTTCAAATGCGTTTCTTGTCATTCTGAAGTTTAATGGTGTATTTGCAATAAACCTTTCTAAGTTAATTTCTGCCATCGTATCTTGAGATAATTCTGTCTTCATTTTAATAGCATACTGTCTTAATCTCATATCTGCTATTTGCTTCTCTTCTGGTGACAAACTATTCTCATTTATACTTGGATTCCTTCTATAGAAACTTTCTTTAGCTTTCTTAATTATGATATTATCAAAATCTGCTCCTCCTAAATAATTATCTCCATCTGTTGCAAGTACTTCTCCTGTTGGTGTTGATTCTCCGAAATAAAGTGACAAAAATGACACGTCAAATGTACCTCCTCCAAGATCAAAAATTAGTACTTTTTGTTCATCTTTTACCTCTTTTGCCTGACTAGTTAATACTGCATATGCTATACCTGCTGATGTTGGTTCTGTTAATAATTTATACTCTACCTTTACTGGATTATTATTCTCATCAACTTTCCCATTAAATGCAATATCCATTGCTGTTATTGTTCTTTTCTTTGCATTGTCATTAAAATATGCTGGTACAGTTACAACTACATAATTTGGTGATGCTCCCAATCTGTACTGTGCTGAATCATACAAGTAGTTTAGTACTGCTGCTGATACTTCAAACACTTCCAGATCTTTAACCTTATTATCATACTTTACTTCAATTGCTGCATTATCACTTGCTACCTTTCTCTCTTCCATTGTTCTATTAGCTGTCTTAATCTCTTTAATCTTAAAAGGATACTTACTCATTGTTGCCTGAATATCCTTATCATAATATCCTCTTGCAATCATTCTCTTAGCTTCATAAATGAACTGTGATGGATTCTCTTGTGCCATCTGGATTGCTGGATTACCTACAACTACTCCTGGTGAATTTGGTTTATAGTAAACTACTGAAGGTGTTGTTCTATCTCCTTCTTTGTTCTCTATAATCTGTACTTTTCCTTGCAATACTCCTGCCATACATGAATATGTTGTTCCTAAATCAATACCTAATGTAACTTTCTTATCACTCATTGTATTATAAGGGATAAATTTTTTTCTGAATTTATTTTAAAATTTTTTCTAAGAAAATTATTTTTTAAAAAACTGTTTTTTAGAAAAAATTATATTGAATTTTTTATATTCTGTCATTGTGTTTTTATAATAAAATTATTATAAATAAACACTTAGTTAATAATTTGTTTCTTTTAACAAACAAATTATTAAATTGAAACGTTATTAAGAATTTATATTTTTTAATTAAATTTTTATTATGAAAAATAATATTTCATTCGCATTTAAAACAGATACTCATAATTATTTAGTAAGTCAAACAACAGTTTATTCTAACTTATTTAAATATAAAGAAAGTCATGATGAAGTTATGAACTTTAATGGATCACTTTTATCAATTACAGGTGATATTTCTGAAAATAGTGAACTTAAGAATTTAACTAACTATCTAAAGTATGTTGAATTAAGTTTAGAAATAGATGTTAACTGCAATCATATTGCTAAGTTCTTATCTGATACAATCTATCAAAGTTTAAAAACTCGTAATCCTTTTAGCTCTCAAGTCATCGTTATAGACAAGGATGATGTTGTATTAGTGGATCAGTATGGATACTTGTTTAAGGATAACATAGTTTTTACTGGGTTTGGAGGATACTTTTTATATGGTATCTATGATTCATATAAAAACACACTTGAGAATAACTGTGATGAAGTTGCTATTAACGATTTTATTTCTAAGTGTTTAGCAACTTTAAAAGAGAAATTTATTATGGAAGCCAATAATTGGAGAATTGATAAAATTGATAGAAATGGAACAATTAATACCGGATTTATAACTATTTGAATGAAGTTTATTTCAATTTATTTTCTATTTCATTTCTTATTTTAGTACTTTCCTTATTTAAATCATTAAAAGTTTTTAATTTTTGATTAATTAATAAGATTAGTGCCTCAATTCTTACATCATTCAATCTTTTTAACTTTCTTTTTTCTAATTCTAGAGTTTCTTTTGATATTTCTTTACTTTTAGCAATCACACTATTAAACAGTTCTTCATTAAAGTCTTTATCATTATCTTGAATCAATGAAAATTCTTTTAATTTGATTATGACATGTTGAGATATAAATGCAGCTAGTTTAGTATCAAATGTAGTTAAAAAGGCTATAAGAGTTGTTATTTGATTGTTAAATGTTGAAAATGGTTTCATTGTAAACTCATTAATATATTCAAGTATTGGTATCGTAACAAAGTGAAAGATACATGATTCTTTTGTCTTTTTATACTCATTTAAATTACAGTTATCATTAACAAACTTACATACCTCATCCCATTTATCTTCATATAAACTAATACCCTTTAATAGTGCATACTCTTCCTTCTTATCCCATAAAAATGAAATTAATTCTGGTGTAATTTCATTAAAAGTTGCTAAAAGATACTTTCTTTCATTTAAACAATTTTTACAAGCAAAATTAAGTTCATTAGAAAAATAATGTGCTTTACCTTCTTTACAGTAATCACATATTGAATTAAGTAACTTATCTTTATAAACATACCTGTTAACCACCTTAACATCAATTTGTATTTTATTACTTCCATTACTATGTATTGTGTTAATATCATCATTTTTTACAGTTGTAACTTCTTCTAATTTTAAGTCATTAAGACACTCTTTAAGATCAATACATGAATTGATTAGTTTAATTTCTTCACAGTAATCAAATACATTTAAAAATAATTCTTTATCTATTAATTGATTGTTATTTAGTTTAGAATAAAGTTTATAAGAATCTCTAAATGTGATTGTAGTATCTTTAACACTTATAATTTCTTTAAAGAAATTTAGAACATCATTTGATTGACTATTTTCATCCCTCTCATACTCATTTATTAGTTCTAATGAATCTGTTACTTCAATACATGAATTTGGTATTACATCATTAGGTGGTATTGAACTTATTCTTCTTACTGTTTCATCTACTATAACACTGTCTATTTCTTTATAATTAACTTGCTCTGATAAAATCATTTTAATTAAAAAAAATAATAACTTTTATTTTTTATAATTAAAATAACACAAAGATATTATAAAAATAACACAAAGATATTATAAAAAGAACGTAGTTAATCTATTAAATTACTAATAAATAAACAAGCTTAAATTTATTCTAAATCAATCATATTCATATGTTCAGTAGCAAACTCTAAATTCTTTCTTTTAAGAAACACTAATTGAGCTATTCTAGTATTCTTACTTGTTTCAAAAAGCATGTTACTACAATTAGTAATTTCTATCTTAATCTCTTCATTATTTTTAATATAACCAATAATCTCAACTCCATTCTTAGAAGAAACACCAGATCTTCCTAAAACCAATCCAAATAAGTGTGAGGGAATTTCACATTTAATACCGGTACTAACTGAGATGTGATCACTTGGTTGTAATTTAATGTCTTCATTGCAGTACAAATCATATCCTGCTGCACCTTTAGAGTGTCTACAGGGGATTGTAGAGTCTAATGTAAGCTTTGTAAAAATTACCGTAGCTTGCTTCATTTTGTTTATTATAAATTATTTTTAAAATTTATTTAATTTATCTGAAACGAATTATTCGTCTTTGCATTAAAAAGGGACTTCTTTGTCTCATTCTAGCACGAACATCTCTTAGTCGAAATTTTCTTTTAAATGGTTGTTTTAATTTTAAAATAAAATTAGGAATTATTTTTAGAATAAAATACGGTGAAATTAACAAATTAACTAAAAAATAAATTAACATTTTAATCTCTCCTTAACTTTTTTATTAAAATTCCTTTATTTTTATATAAAATTTTTAATGAAAAAGATTAGCGATATTTATGAAGAAGGAAAACGGTTACAAGATTTAAATGATAAGAGTGGACTAGAAAAATTCTTTAATAAATATTTAAAGACATCAGCAGATTCAAGAGTATGGAATTTGTATGTTAATTACGTTAAGAATGATAAAAAGATTCATTTAGCTCAAGTTTATCAATTTATAGTCAACTATTTAGAGCATTCTTATGAATCATTTGAATTTGTAAAAGAGTGTATTAAAGAACTTAACAAAACATCCCTTGAAGAGGGTAAAATTGATAAAATTAGAAGAATTTATACTAAGTTTGTTAAAGTCCCACACAACAAACTTAGTGAGTTGTTTAGAGAGTATGAACAATGGGAAATATCTGTTAATAAAATTAATGCTAAATCAATGATTGAAGAGGTTCAACCTTATTATATTAACGCTATGACTGTCTATCAAAAGATAAGTCAGTCACTTAAGAGTAAGAATTTTTATAAGTTAATTGATATCGAAGTGTCAAATCCTTTAAAATTAAATAAGAAATCATTTGATAATCGACTTAATTTTATTTTAAATTATCTTTTATTAAACAACTATAATTATGAAGAGATTGAAATTTTAAGATCTATTTATTTAAATAACATTAGTAATGTTGAAGTAATAAATAGCTGTCTCCATCAATATTGGTTTTCTTTTCACTTAAAAAAGAATTTATTTGATTTTAGTAGAAAAAATGATTTAACTGCTATTAACTACTTAAATTGGGTTGTTCAAAATGAAGGTATTGAATCTTATAGGAATAAATTTAAAGAAATGAAAAATGATTATACTTTTAGAGTCTATATTTATGCAGCTGAATTAGAAATGAGAAATAATTCTATTAATGCTTATAACATTCTTAATGAGGCATTTGAAAAATATCCAAATGAAAGTTTACTTAATGAAATGTTCTTTAAAATGTTTTATAAAGCTAATGATGATGAAAAAATTAGACTTTTATTTAAAAAATTAAATAAAACTGATAAAATCTGGAAAATGATGATTAATTATGAACTTAGATTTGGTGATTTTAATGAATATAAAAATTTGCTGTCTAATTACAACCAAAATAATAGAGATTTATTGAAGAGTTGTTTTTATGATGATGAAAATAATAAAATTGAAATTGAGGAAAATTCATTAAGAATTATTAGTAATATTAAGAAAAGTTTTGAGTATTTAGATTTAAAATTACCTGTTAGTGATATTTTATCTGATTTTATATCTAAATTACCTAATTTACCTGAAAATGAAAATATTTTAAAAGATGTTGAAGTTAATAAGATTATAGAATTAATTAAAAGAATTGAATAAATTTTATATTACTTTAAAAATGTTAAAAAAAAGAATTTGTAAGAAAAAAATTGATGTGTGATAAAAAAATAAATTTTTATTAATTACCCCATTAATATGATTTATAAAAGAGATTATGATAAATATATTTATAATAAGTCTAAATTAAGAGAAAGTAGTCAATTAAAAGATAGAATAGATAATAAGATTAATCAAATTCACTTTCTTCAAAATTCAATTGATTATTATAATAATACACGATATGATTTTCTCAGAAATAGTTATATTCAATATATAGATAGTTATAGTGATGATCAGGTTATTTATCAAAGTTTTGTTGATGGTTACTCACAAGAGTGTTTTGATGATTATTTTTGTTTTAATAAGAAATTAAGCAGGAGAAATTACTTTCATAAAGAATTACAAAAATCTTATAAAATACCTGTAAAATCAGTAATGAAAAATTTGATTGATAGTGAAATTGAAGACAGTGATTTAAACATATTATTTAGTGATATAGAAGCAAAAGAAATTTCTACACAAAAAGTAATTAAAAAGGGTAAATGGACAAGTGATGAAGATGATATGCTAATGAGTATAATATATGAATTTGGACTGGGTAATTGGTCTTTAATAGCTAAGTTAATGCCTAATAGAAATAATAAACAATGTCTAGAAAGATACTTAAATCATTTAGATCCATCATTAAACAAAACACCATTAACTGAAAAAGAAAAGGAATTAATTCTCAAATTACAAAAAAAATTTGGTAATAAATGGACAAAGATTGCTTCAGAATTAGGTGACAGATCTGAAATTATAATTAAAAACTTCTTTTTTTCTCACAAAAGAAAAAATGAATAAATTTAGATTTTAAAAATTTTGAAAACAAATTAAAATTCAGATTATTATAAGTTTATATTTAGATAAAGTAATATTTAGTTATTTTTTTGAGAAATTATACTTTTTATTATTCATATTTAAAGATTTTGAAAACAAATTAAAATTCAGATTATTATGAAATTGAAATCAAAATAGGAATGTTAAATATAAAAAACATGTAATGATGAATTATTTAAAATTATCAATCATATAAATTATTAAGTTGGTTTTTTCAATTTAATTAATAATAAATATTAATAATTAAATTGAAGAATTATTTGTTAAATCTTTTATTACTTATAAGAAATATAAAAGTTATATTAGAGATCATTTAGAAAAATTTGATGAAATTACATTCAATTTTTTTATAAAAATGATTTTATTGGGTGTAAAATAGTAAGAAATATTTTTAATAAAAAGGAATAATAAAATTAAATTTATCATATTTTAAAATTAAAAATTTTTATAATAAAAACATTATATTACTATATGAAGAAATAGATATTAATTTAACATTTAATAACTTTTTATTATAATTAATTAATTTTAAATCAATTATTTTTTATATTAAACACTAATTATACAAAAATTTTATTGTCTTAATCCTTCAAGATAATTATTTATAGAATGATCATATAAACTATTAAAAGTTGGTACTAAAATATTTTTATCTTCATCATTTAAATATTTCCAATAAAATTGATCTTCATTTCTAAAATTATTTCTTAATCTTTTAACAGAACCAATTCCATATAATCTTTGAAGATTAAAAAACTCTTCAATTAATTTTTGAAAATTCTTAAAAATTTTAACGTTATCACATTCGTTTATGTTTTTAAACAGATTTTTCCAATGTTTTTTATATCTTAAAGTAGCAAGTAATGATTTTCTTAAACAGGTAATATTTCCATAAGATGCAAATGGTATGATATCATCATTTATAATGTAATTTGTTATGTTTTCACTTACATTATCATACACCGACTGTACAAGGTTAATATTTGGAAAACTTGCAAACGTAACGGTATTAATATTTTTATGATTAAACTTCTTTTTCAAAACATAATGAAATAATGTAGACATAGATCCACCTAAGTAATGTCCTGTAACATGTATGTTTTTGTATTTATTTATAACTGAATTAAGCACATCCCAGTCATTTTCTATCAAATTGTTAAAGTAAATTCTATGACCTTGATGAATTAACCCGTCATCAAATTTATGATAATCTAAGTATAAACTCATAATTATTTCTGCAAGCGTATCTGTACCCTTAAATACAATAACGACCGTATCAGAGTCTTTCTCAACAATCATAAAACAAGGTATGTTATTTCCACTAGTAAAATAATTAAGTATCTTAATTTCACTTCCTAAAAGTTCTATTGAATTTTTTCGAATATTATCTAAAAATATACTTTTATCCTTCTTAGTTAAATCTATATGATTTTCAAACTCTTCCAATGAATCACCATAAACAAGTTGAGATAAACAAGCATAATAATAATCATTCCTCATTTCATTGTTTAATACATTATAATCTTTAATTTCATTTAAGTTTGATGATAAAATTTCTTTCAATTTTTTAATATGTTTAATTGTATTTAGAACTTTAAATTCGTCCACCAAATTCTTAAATTTTTTTAAAAACGTAATTTTTAAATTTAAATTTTTACATTCCAAATTTTTAAAAAAGTATTTAAAATATTTTTGAATAAAACTAAACACACCATATGATTGTTTAATTTGATTTTCATTGTCTTTAGGTTTAATTTCGTTTTTAGTATATTCAATCATTAATTCAGGTGGTCTATTAAATTTTTTAGGTAACGATTCAATATTTTTGATTTTATTTTCAAATAAATCTACACGATATGCATCTTTTTCATTTAATAAATGTTTTAAATGAATAACACCCTTATATAATAGTTTATCAAATCCAAATATATCCTCATAAACATATACTTTAACACACCTAAATTCAATATCCATATATGTCAAATTTTTTAAATAAATCTTATTAACGTTTTCACTATCATTATAACAAAACATTACATAAAATTTTGGATTGTCAATATTTAAGTTCACATTATCATCTTTAATATTTATTAATGAGATGTCAATGTTATAGTTAATATCATTTAACTTAAATATGTCCAAAATCTCTTCTTTACATATTGTAAATATACTTTGTATTAATAAGAACAACATTATAGGGTGTTACGTAATTAATTTTTATTTAAAAAATAAACAAATCAAAAACAATATCATATTTTGAAAATAAAAACAATTGTTACTTTACTTTCATGTTAAATAATTTTTAATTTATATTGAATTATTATTATAAAAATATGTCAAATTTGATAAAAATATTTAATTAAAATAAATAAAATATAAAATAACAAAAAAGTAAATTTTATAAAAATAACTAATTTCATTCTTAAACTTGAATATTTAATAATGAAAAATAAATTAATAAAATAGTTTTGAGGTTTAGTTTAAAAAGATATTAAAAATAATAAATTTATTACATCATTTTTACTTTTTTTTAATATTACTAATAAAACAATATTTATTCAATATTTAAATTTTTTTTTAAATTTAAAGTAATTTTATTAAAATCATTTTCGAATTTTTTTAAAAAATGTTTTTTCAAATAATTAATACAATAAATCTTGATGAGAATTTTAAAGAATTAACAAATCAATTAAAAGAGATTGAAAATAAAGAAAAAACAGCTCTTAATAATATTAATGTGTTATATAATACAACTGAAAGATTATTAAAAATTATAATTGGGTTTATCAACAATTTAAAGATGTTTTTATTTATAATAAGATTGGATTAGCAAAAAGTCTTAATATGATTGAATTGAAATCTATAAACAAGGAGTTTTATTATTTTATTATTGAAAATACACACGGGATGAATCAAATACATCAGTTTAACGAATTTATAGAAAATTATGACACTCATGTTATGTCAATAAGTAGTTCTAGTGAGTTTAAATATAGATTTTACGTAATGTTTAGGAGGTTTGGATCAAGATTGATTAATTTAAAAAAAAACCATCGAAGATTTTATTGAAAATAACTCAGAAAAGAAATTTTTAAATGACGTATGTTTGTTTCTAAAAGAAAAGTCTACAAAAATTAATCATTTAATATGCTTTTTTAATTTATTTCAAAATTATAATAGATTATTGAATTTTTTAGATTTGATTAGAAAAGAAAAATATAATGAAATAGAAAAATTTATTATGGAGAATTTAAATTATATTAAAAGATATTATGAAAGGTTGAAGAAAAATAGTTTAAATAATAACTGTATCATAGAGGAATTATCAAATTACTTAACGAAGATTATCATTGTTTTTAAATCTAATTATATTAAAGATTATACTGCGCGTGATTTTAAAAATTTAAAGCAAGAAATGTCGTGTTTTTTTAGATTATTAGAAGTTTCACCTTTAAAGAAAATTCCTAGAAATTGTAATGTTTACACTTATTATGAGTTTGGAGTTTATAAAATATCAAAGTTAATACAACAAAACATTGGGAATTATGATGACTATAAAAAATGTGAATGTGACAAATTTATAAATAGAATTGCATTTTTATATTCTTTTAATAGAATGGTATTTTATTGTTATAAAAAACAAGATTTTAATCTTTTAAATTATCTTCTTAGAATATAAATAAAAGTAATTGCTTTTTTTCATTTGTTTATAAACGAATAAAAAATTATTTAGTAATATTAACCAGTAAATATTTTATTAAAAAATTTTAAGTAAAAAGATTTCTATTTATTTAAATTTTTAAAGAATATTAAGCATAGCTTCATTATTAGATTGGTACTTCAAACGATATATATTTTTTAAATAAAAAGATCCATATGATTTATAAAACGTTGCTACAGTCTTGGTGGAAAAAGAATATTTTTTATTTTTTTAGAAGAAAGGAACTGCTTATAATTTATGGTTGAGCGATGGTTAAGTTTTATGATAATTATAGGCTCTTTAAAAAGTCAAGGAAGAGAATCGAATATATACATTTGTTTATTTGATGCAAGTCGTGTTGAAGAGAATATAAACTCATCTATAAAACTTCTTTTTTATGAAAAGTGGAGAAGACGACTTGCTAGAACATTCCTACTTATAAAGTTGACATGTCTTTATTTTGAGGAAGCGAAAGTAAAATACACTGGCATTCTTTTGATTGGCGCCCCATACAAAAAACTAACTAGCTAAAAATGATTGGCACCCCAAAAAACGATTGGCACCCCATAATTTTGTATTAAATAAAAAATTTTTATGAAATTTTTATTAAATTCATCAAAAATTTTTTCACCCTTAATGCAGTATAGCGAAATTAAAAGAGATAGAGACAATTTGCTGCCACTGTTG